CGGGCGCGGCTCCACCAGCGGACGGCCTGCGGAAACCCACAGAGTCAAGACACGCTCCCCCGAAACATGCCGATGTTGGTGGACTCATGTTTTCCGGATCGAGCTCTTAGGCCCAGGTTTTCTTGGGTTTCTGAGTTTGGGGGCTCCCCGCTGGGAGGCCCCCGGGAGGGCCCTGCTGTCCCCGTGTCCTCCATTGTCGTGTCCCCTACTGCACTTCTCGTGTCCCCTGATGCCCTCTCATGTCCCTCTCGTGTCCCCTGCTGTCCCCTCGTGCCCCCCTCGTGTCCCCTCCTGTCCCCTCGTGTCCCCCTCGTGTCCCCTGCTGTTCCCCTCGTGTCCACTCGTGTCCCCTGCTGTTCCCCTCGTGTCCCCCTCGTGTCACGCTCGCGTCCCCCACTGTTCCCTCGTGTCCTCCTCGTGCCCCCTGCTGTGCCATTTCTCCTCGTCGCCATTGCCTGTTCATCCTTTAGATAACGCCCACTAATTCCTTCGTGGCTGCTCACGAGCACCTTCATAGCTACTTGTCGGGGTTTCTGTGGTGTGTCCTCGTCGCCCATGCGGGTTCCTCTGGGAAATCAATGTCAGTGGCGCCGTCGCGGCTGCTCATCTAGCACCCTCGCGGCTGCTCATCCAGCGCCTTCCGGGCTGCTCATTTAGCACTTTCGTGGCTGCTCATTCAGCGCCTTCGCGGCTGCTTATCGAAGTTTCTTTGGTATGTCCTCGTCGCCCATGCCGGGCCCTCTTCGGAATAAGTTTCGGCAGCGCCTTCGCGGCTGCTCATCTAGCGCCCTCGTGGCTGCTCATCCAGCGCCTTCTTGGCTGATTGTCGCGGTGTCTTGGGTGTGTCCTCGCGTCCCCCTCGCGTCCCCTGCTGTCCCCTCGTGTCCCCCTCGTGTCCCCTTGCGCCCCCCTCGTGTCCCCTGCTGCCCCCTCGCGTCCCCCTCGCGCCCCCCTCGTTGCCCTCTCGTGTCCCCTGCTGCCCCCTCGTGTTCCCCTTGCGTCCCTTCTTGTCCCCTCGTGTCCCTCTCGTGTCCCTCTCGTGTCCCCTGCTGTCCCCGTCGTGTCCCCTGCTGTCCCCTCGCGCCCCCTGCTGTCCCTTCGCGTCCCCCATCGTGCACCCCCCGTGTCCCCTGCTGCCCCCTCGCGCCACCTGCTATCCCCTTGCGTCCTCGTCGCGCCTCCTGCCGTCCCCTCGCGTCCCCTTCGTGCCCTCTGCTGTCCCCTCGCCTTCTCCCCGTGCACTCCCCTGCTCCCCTCGTGTTCTTTTTGCAGCGCGGCGCCATGCGATGCCTCTGCGTTCGTTGCGCCTGACGCGCTTTCCTGGCCCGGGTGGGCTGCAGCGTCGTTTCGCGGTTGCTCTGCCTTGATTTCCCTCGGCTCTGCGCGGCGTCGCTCGGGCGTGCCGCGCGCGTTCCTACGGGGTGCGTTTCGCGGTGCTCGTGGCAGATATGCGTCGTAGAAACCTTGCATTTGCGAAGTGCTCCGTGGTCTCCATGCACAACCTTGGCCCTGGTCTCCCCGCAAGCGCCGCTTGCGTCGCTGTGTGGCCAAGCGGGGCACCTCGGAGTGCTCCGCGGGACTCTGCGCTGGGCCGCGCGTTCCGCGACATCCCCCAGGGGGGCTGCCCTGCGGCGCGCGCGCGGTGCTCGGTCCACGCGACGCAACAGCCTTGCGGGTGGAGGTTTCTGCGATGCGTTCGCATTTGGTTTTGCGGGGGGCCTGTTGCTTCCAAGCACAACCTTGCCCGCGCCCTCTCTGCAGGCGCCGCTTGCGGGAGGGGCCGCACGGAGTGCCCCAGAGCATTCCAGAGCGCTTCGCGCCTGGCATGGCGCGGCGCGGCTGCCCCGTCGGGGGCTGCCTTGCGGGGCGCGTTGCATGATGCTTGGGCCACGTGCTGCAGCGACCCCGAGGGGGGCTGCTCTGCATGTATGCGTTGGCTCCTCCTGGGGAACCGCGGGCCTTCGGGCCGCGTCTCTGTGCGCCGCCCATTGTCGTCGCCGTCGCCCATGTGCAATGGCTGCCGCGACGCCCCCTTGTTCACGGGGCCGGGGCGCCCCCAGAATTTCGTCGGGCCGCCCGCCCGTGGAAAACCGCGATCACGACGCCGCGCTTTTCACGGGGCTGGGGTGATCTTATGAGGGAGTTTGCCGGCCCGCCACTCGGGCTGCGGCGCCGTTTCGCGGTTGCTCTGTCCTGATTTCCCTCGGTTCTGCGCGGCGCCGCTCGGGCGCGCCGCGCGCGCCCCTGCGGGGCGCGTTTCGCGGTGCTCGCGGCAGGTATCGTGGAAGCTTTGCATTTGCGAACTGTTCGGTCGTCTCAAGGCTAAACCTTGGCCCCGTTTTCCTCGCGAACGCCGCTCGCATCGCAGCGCGGCCTGGCGGGGCGCCCCAGAGCACTCCGCAGGACTCTGCGCTGGGCCACGCTGCCCCGCGGAGCGCGCGCGGCGCTCGGCCCGCGTGCCGCAACAGCTCTGCGGGAGGAGATTATTGTGCCGCGTTTGCATTCGGTTTCGCGGGGGGGGGGTCGTTTCCAGGCACATCCTTGGCCGCGCCCTCTCTGCGGGCACCGCCTGCGGGAGGGGCCAGACGGAATGCCCCGGAGTATTCAGATTATTCCGCGCCAGGCCGGGCGCGGCGCGGCTGCCCCGAGGGGGGCTGCCCCGCGGGGCGCGCTGCGAGATGCTAAGCCACGTACTGCAACGACCCCGATAGGGGCTGCTCTGCGTATTTGCGTTGGGAACTCCTGGGAAATCTTGGGCCTTCGGGCCGCGCCTGTTTTTGCGCCGCCCATTGCCGTCGCCGTTGTCCGCGAGCAATTCATACCGCGACGCCCCGCCGTTCGCGGGGCCAGGGCGCCCCTGGAACTTCGCCTGGCCGCCTGCCCGTGGAAAACCACGATCGCGACGCCGCGCTTTGCGCGGGGCTGGGGCGCTCCTGGGAGGGACTTTGCCGGCCCGCCTGTCCCTGCGAGACATTGCCGCGACCTCCTTTTTTCCCGCGGGGCTGGAACGCCCCTGGGATGAGCTTTGCCTGGCCGCCTTTCCATGCGAACGCTCTGCCACAGCGCCCCGTCTTGTCGTCGTTTTCTCATTCGTTGTTTTGCCGATCGGCGCGGGCCCTCGCCCCCCCCCCCCGCGGAGTAGATCCTGGGGTCTCTCCCCCATGAGGCGCGCTGCTGCACGCAGTCGCATTCATCAGAGGTCAGGGGCCAGACCCCCGCCCCCCCCAAGCCCAACGTCGAAACGAGGCCTTCTGAGGGCTCCCCCAGAGGCAAGCGAACAAACAGAGCAACATTCGTCCCCGACCAGCGCACCTCGAGACGACGAGGAGTCCAAACGCCGAACGACGACCACAAAACGCCCAGACGCCAAACGACGACCACGGCGATGACACCAAACGACACACGCCGAACGACGACCACGACCAGAACAACATCACCGGCGACGACCACGACGACGGCGGCTACGATTGGCGGCCGCGGGGGCTCGGGGCCGCCTCCTCCGACGACCCAGGCGTACAGCGCCGGCCTGGGCCCGCTTGCGGCGGGCGCGGTCGCGCGGGTCGCGTGCTCGCGCTCGCCCACGCGCCACGCGCGAGCTCGAGCGCGCGCTCCCGCCCGCCGCCTTGGGCACTGCGTAAGGCGGAAGAGGGGGTGGGGGCGAGGAATGGGGGGTGAGGGGGAAAGAAACGTGCACCGTTCGTGCCCCTTCTGGGCCTCAGGGGGCCACTGTCCAAACCTCTGGCGTCTCGAGCAAAAATGGACGGCGCTTTCTCATAAACCTCGGCCTCTCGGGGCGATGGCCAGGCCTCGGGAACGTCAGAACACGACTCGGGTTGGAACGCTGGCCCCAGGGAAGTGGTGAAGAGGTCGGCAGCCCGTCTCATCACAGACGCCTGACGCCTGGGTGTAGAAGGTGCACCTTTCTTCACCCCCCATTCAGCTCCCCACAAGGCAACGCACAATCGCCGCCGTCGTCATCGCCGCCAAGGCCGTCGTAGCTCGTGGTAGACGTCGTGGTGGTCGTTGCCTCTCGTCGTTCATCGTTTGTCCGATGTTCGTCGTCGTTCGTCGCTCGTTGTCGTGGTTGCTCGTGGTGATGGTGGTGGTCGTCGAGGTCCGTCATCGTACGTCGTCAGGTCTGTCGCGAACGCCGCCATTGCCGCCGCAAGAGGAAAGATAAGGAGGCAGAGGGGCGGGGGAAGCACAGAGCAGGGAGAATTGAGCGAGGAGGATGGGCGAGAAGGTCGGCAAGGGGCTCCAGGAGTTCCACAGAGAAGGAAGAAAACACATGTTGGAGAGTCCCAAGCGTGTCCAGAACGTGCCCCAAAATTTGCGCTGCCCATGGGTATGTCTTTCCGTGGGAGCACGTGAGGAAACTCCCGTATCCGGAATCGGTGGCTGGCTGCTCGTGGTCTTCAATCTGGTCGCCCGTATGGCCTCCTGTATGGTCTCCCGTTCTCTCCCGTGCGCAGTACAGCACAACGTATTAGTCTCTCTTTGATGATGCTGTTTTGGGCATTCTGCAGCAGGGGTGACGCTTTGCTCGGAAGGGCAAGGATAATGGAAACAGGGCACGACCTCCTGGGTCCAGCGCAAAACTGCGGCACTGCCTGTCACCAGACGAGCAGGGGCACTTGAAGGTGACACGACGCGCAATAGAAGGAAGAAAAGGGACCCTGCCCGCCATGCGGGAACGACAGCATTCAGCCGTCGCAACAGGACTGAAGGTGCACCACAGGCCGAGCTATGGCTGGCAGGCCTGTAAGTTCTGATGCATTCGGTGATGCAGTTCTGTGTGAAACGTGTACGGCCTCTTCTGCGCCAAGGAAACACATCACGGTGCCTCCGAGAAGGGGGGAGCGTTCAAAAAACAGGGCGGCATCTGATCAGCACACGCCCGAGGCAGGAACTGGGGCACACTTTAAGTGGCGCCACTAACTACAACGCATGCCTAAATGCTAGACGCAATACATTCTATGTGTGGCCATACACTACCAGCTCTACTTGTTACTGAGCACCGTCACTCCAGTCCACGACAGCCGCTCCTCGTCAGTGAGCCCGCAGACTTTGCCGTCTGGGCCGAGGACCTTGCTGATCTGCTCGAGCAGAATTCTGGTGGCCACGTCGTCAGGCCATTCGCCATTCAGCCCGAGCGCCTTGTGGCGCGCCTCATGGAACAGCCCCTGCTGGTATGCGCACAGGGCGTCCTCATAGCGGGAGGCCATCTCACGCACGTGCTCGGGGACGACCGCGCCCCCTGCGGACTCGACAAGCCGACTCCTCGATTCCACGGTCGACGATGAGTTGATTGGCGACCTGTGCCTTGTAGGCGGATTTGAGGGTCGTCTTGGGGAGAGGCTGGGTTTCCTAGTGCTGATGAAACTCCGGGGGGATGACTGGGAAATCGAGGTCGCGTCCATCGCATCCCTGTCTCTTGGTCTTGGGCTCATAGATGGACTGGCGGATATCTTAGACTCGCTGGCCGAAGTATCGCCGAATTTCATGGAGAACCTTCTGGCCATTTGCTTGAGGGGGTTCCACCTGAGGTCTTCCAGCTTCTTCATCCCAATGGTTGACGCCTGCATGACGTCGCCGCAGGCCCTCTCAGGGTCGACGAGATGTTCCTCGTTGAACACCTCCTCGTCACTGATGCCCATGATCTCATAGATGCGGGTGGGCTGTGACTTGCCCTTCACCTGCACGAGGTCGAGCTCGCGCATGACGAAGCCGTCGGTGTTCATGAGCCTGTCGTGGCGCGTCACCAATCTGACCGTGGCTTCAGAGCACAGGATCCACACGCCGTACACTTTGCACAGACTCTCAAGGCGGCTGGCCAGGTTGACTGGGTCACCCATGCAGCCGAACTTCATCTTGCTTTCGCTGCCGATATTACCAGAAAGCACGACGCCAGTGTGAAGCCCTATGCGGATCTTGATCTGTGGCAACTTGAACTGGGACAGCTCCGTGTTCAACGTCTTCAGGACCTGCTGCTGGGCCAGCGCTGCGGCGCAAGCTTTTGCCGCATGGTCTGACACGTCGTCGGGCGTATTCCAGAATACCACCAGGCCGTCGCCCAAAATCTCCGCCACCATGCCTTCGTAAGTCTCAACGATCCTGGTCATGATCGAAAAATACCGCGTAAGCAGGAACAACAAGTCGACCTGCTTGAGTGACTCAGCGATGGGTGTAAAATTCGCGATATCCGAAAACATAATTGTCACCTCGCGCTGGGAGACGTGCAGCCTCATCGCACGCTCGTCCCCGCGGACGATATCTCTGACCACGCTATTGGGCACGTAGCGCTTGAACATCTCGATGCAGCGCGACATCCTGCCGAAGGAGTGCTGGAGCTCGCGGACCTCTCTGAGTCGGGAGGTGCTGCAGTTGTAGAGCGTCGCGAGCTGCTCCGACTCCTCGGTGTTCAGCTCGCCGAGGAGCTGCATAAGCTCTGTAACAGTGCGCACAGGAATCGTGACCATCCTGCTTACGTACCAGCCTATCGCAAGTCCGACCACTGTGACAAGCAGGCAGACGATCAAAGCCTGCAGCCTGGCAGCGCTAGCCCTGTCGCGTGGCGAGGGGCGAACGCCCTCGTCCGACGGAAGGTCAAGCGCGTCCTGTGCCAGCACCTCCAGCACCACGTACATGCTTAGGCTTGCGAGCAACGCAGAAAATGCGACTGCAGCCGCGATAATTGTTGACAAAGAGCCAAGCGAGAATAGTGGGCGGGAACTTCCGTTTGACGGCAGTGATTCCAAGGCCTCCTGTAAGGATGACCTGGAATGTTTGGACTGCTTGGACCGCGCTCTTTCACTGATGTTAGCGTCGGATGAACCAGTCAGAAGACCTCTGCTGCCCACAGTGCCCGCCGGGGTGAGAATCGCGCCCGCGGGGGTGGTCGGTCCGCGGCTGTGGGTGAGATGAACGTCCTCCATCCAGGTGGATCCTCGAATCCTCGCCAGGACCGTGCCCATGAGGCTGACCTCACTGGGCCTGCGCCCCTGTGGATCGTGGCTGTGAAGCGAGGTAAAGGATCTTGCAACCCTCAGCAAAGAGTTGGGCGAGTATCGCGTCTCGGAGACACGAGGCGGCTCGCCAGGCTGCAGCCCACGCGTGGTGCCAAGTGAACTTGTGCCAGTGCCGTCCTCATCCTCCTCGTCGCGCACCATGTCCAGGCTGCGGCTCCCAGTCGGGCTGGTGACCCGCGCCTGGAAGGAGTTCCTCCGGAGAAAAAACTGCAATAACATAGACTTTCGGAGCGCCGAGCAACTTTCTTTGATTGGCGCTGGGCCCACCTCACAGGCGCACGGAGCGCGCCAGGGGCGGCGCCAGAGGCGCTGCCAGGGGGGGCCCAGCGCCGATCCAAGAAATCCGAGTGGAGCTGCGAAAGTTCATGTGTGTGCCGCTTTTCGTTTTTCGATCCTCGGCAGATGCATCCTGCACGGCGGCCTGCTGCCGCTGCCGCCGGACTCGGCCGCGCATATGATCTCCACAGTCGGCGGCGTCACCCGCCTCTGGAGGCCCGTGCTGCTGGCAGCGCTGCCGCTGGCGCTGGCCGCTCCCAAGAGCTCGGCCGGCACGGCCGGCGCACACGCGAAACCCGTGCTGCTAGCGGCGCTGCCGCGGGCGTTGGCCGACCGTGCGAGCTCGGCCAGCCCCGCCGGCGAGCTCGGACGCCTCGCACCGATCGCCTCCCCGCCAGATGCCGCTGTGTCCGTGGTGTTGGTGCGGGAGTCGTGCCGCGGGCGGAACATATTGATGCGCTGCTCCAGGTCGCGGCCGGAGGCCGTGCTGCTGCACTCGTGCGCGTCCTCTCCGCCAAGGCTGTCTGCGCTCTTGGACTTTTCCCAGAACTCGCCGCGGAAAACCTTCCCCAGGGAAGGCGGTGCCGCCGACGATGCGGAAGCGTCCCGGCTCGGATCCGTCTCGACCCCGCCAGGAAGTGCAAGGGCCACCAACTGGTCCTGGCACAGGGCGGGCTCCTGTCGGGCCTGTCGGTGCTCACCCATATCGCCGCTGCGCTGGGCAGCACGCGAGATCGGACCAGTGTCCTGGAGAAAGATGAAGCGACGTAAACTTTCGGAGGTCCTCGAAGATTCTTTGAATCAGCGCGGACCCCCCTCCCTGGCGCGCTGAGCACGCCATGGGCGACGCCAAAGGCGCCGCCAAGGGGGCCCAGCGCAGATCCAAGACTTCCGCGCGGACGACCGAAAATGTAACCATGTCATGGTCTCTTCTCTAATGTCCTCCAGAACGTCCCATGGCTTCTCCGTGCTGCTCGAGCCAGCGTCTCTGCTCGAAACGACCAGCCGCCCTGGCAGCGCCTGGTGACCGTTTTTGTGTTGCCTGCCCGGGTAACGGTCGTTACCCCATGGGATGGGGGGTAGGCGTGCGGGCGGGAGGGGAATAGTAACGGCGGCCGCGGCGTGCACCCGCCATGGTAAGTCCGCGCCACTGACGCACCAATCGCCCGTGTGCACCACAGCACGTAGAGGGGGGGGATCCAGCCCCCCCCCCCAGTGCGATCGTTAGCGTCGTTAACCGGGGGGGGGGGGGGAGGGGGCCCGGGTAACGATCGTTATCCTGGGGAGGGAGGAAAAAAAGCTCACCTGCGGCGGTGCTGGCACACGGCAGGCCTCAGGTGGCCGTGGCTGCGGGTCCTGCGCCAGAGCCTCCTCCATCGGCGCGGCCGACCCCGCCGCCGGCGCGCTGCAGGCGCGCTGCAGGCGGCGGCTCGAGACGGAACGACTGCGAAGGTGCTCACAGATTTGTTGGTCCAGGGCGCGCCCTGTATCATATTGCTATAGGTGAATCACGCATCGCTTGGAACAGTACAAAAAAGAATGTCAACTGCCAGATCCAATCCTCGGAACTCCATATCGAGGGCTGATGTCGCACCCGGCTCATAGTGGTACACGTATCCAACCAAGACCCTTTCAAAGTGCAGCTTGTCTCCAAGATGGTACTGCCAGATGAATAAAACAAGCGAGTATTACCCGAGATGGCATGGTGACCTTACGCTGTGGCTTTTATGCAGGCTCGTCGGCGCGGCACGCTGCATAGGAGACGAGGGCGCTTACGCGCGACCTTACGCGGGCAGCTTACGCGCGAATGTTGGCGCAGTTGAACCCGTTTTTGTTCGTCGCTCGGGTGTCTCTTTGGATGGCTCCTAGAGCTTCCAGGGTGGGTCCTGAAGGAACTGGTGGAGATGGAGGCGGGCAGGCTGGTCCACGAGATAGTGGCCTCCTAGATCTGCAGCGATGCAGCAGAGGGCCCATGACGCTCTGTAACTGCTCGCCGCTCTGCAGCTGCTCTGGGCTGCCGTGCTGCCCGCTCTCGTAGACAGCGCCCTTGCCAGGACTGAAACATATGGCCAAACGCTGCCCCAAGCGGAGTCCCTCCCAAAAGATCGAATGTCTTGTTCTGTTTCAACGAGGCGTCCCCGGAAGTGTCGACCCTTTCCCCGGGGCAGGCTGTTCGTCTCGAGTCTTTCTGTTCACGGCCCGGGGCCCAGCAAGGGCCTCCAGAGGCCGAGAGAGGCGAAAAACCTCCGCGTCGAGTTTTCTCCCAGTGCGTCGGACCTCTGGGGGCCCCTCGGGGAAACCACAAGGTACCAATACCGCTGCTCCCCGGACCTCTCCAGGTGCGCGTCTTGACCAAAGCTCCGAGGCGAACCCGGCGGGCGGCGACGAAGGTCAAGGTCCCCCCGGAAGCCCCACTCGGTACAAGCAAGAGTGACTCTGGGCAAGAATGACCTTTGGTGCGCGGCTTGACGGGGGACGGGGGGTGGCCAAACCTGGGCGCGCAAGCCGCTGCTACCGCTTCGCGGTCAGCGATCGGGGGCCCCATCTCGGCCGCACCAATGGCCATTCCGGCGAGACGGTCACTCTTACGCCCAGTCGACCCAAGAAGGGTGAAAACGAGGCAAAGGTAGAGGCAGGGGTGCCTTCCCCTGATCCCTCCCCTAGCGCCCCAGCGGGGCCACCCGCGCCCGCCGCCGTCGCGGGGTCCCCACGCCGTGCAGGCGCGGCTCGCTCCGCCCAGGCCCGCTCGGGTGCGGCTTGCCTCTCGGCCTCTGCTCCCGCCCTCGCCGGCTGCTGGGGCGCTCTACCGAGACGTCATCGTCGTCGTCGACGCCGTCGCCGTCGCCGCTGTCCCCGCCGTCGCCATCGCCGTTGGCGCCGTCAATGCCGTCGTCATCGCCGTCGTCGCTGTCGTCGCCGTCGTCGTCGTCGTCGTCGTCGCCCGCGTCGCCGTCGTCGTCGTCGCCGCCGTCGTCGTCGTCGCCGTTGTCTTTCGTCGTCGCCATCGTCGTCGTCGGCGGCGTGTCTTCTTTGCTGGAGGGGGGCGGCAGGATGGCCACAGCGAGGCCATGCTTCGCCGCGGCTCGAAAAACGCCAGGCCACCAGCGGGAGGACATGGGGAGGAGGCCCGCACGGCGAGCGGCAGGGAGTAGGGAGCCTCCCTCCCCCTCCTCCCTCCTCTTCCCTCCTTCTCTTCCTCCTCCTCATCCGCCTCTTCCTCCTCCTCCTTCTTCTCCCACCTCCCTCCTCCCGCCTCCCAGCTCCCTCCACCCACCTCCCTCCACCCGCCTCCCTCCTCCCTCCTCCTTCTGCCATTCCTGTTCCTTATAGATAACTCCTCTGCGTCGCACCCCGAGGGCGGTCGAAAGGGCGGACCGGGCTTTTCGCCTGAGACTCCTCACCACGAACATGATGCTCAAAGATCGGCAACAAATTTTACAGCTGGAGGGCGGGTGGTGTTCAAAATGCGGCTCTCGCCTAAGCACCGCGCACACTCGTTCTGAACATCTGCTAGAGCTTCACGGATCGAGGGCGGCTCCTTTTCAAAATGTGGCTCTCGCATTAGCACAGCGCACACTCGCTTGACACATTTGCACGAGCTTCGCGGGTCGAGGGCGGCTCGTTTTCAAAATCTGGCTCTCGCCTTAGCGCCTCGCACCTTCCTTTTTGATATTTGCAAGAGCTTCAGCGCCGCGCGCAATCGTTTTGACAATTTGCACGAGCTTCACATATTGAGGGCGGTTATTCTGCAACACGTGGCTCTCACATGGGCGCCCGGATTGAGAGCGGTTCCTTGTCGAAAGGTGGTTCTCGCCTTCGTGCCGCGCACATCCGTTTTAACATGTCCAAGAGTGGCAGTGGTTCTCATGGTTGACGTGCCAGAAATTGAATTTTGGAGCGATTCTGGACTGTCAGGGCGCAGCAGTTACGTTAATTCGCGGTGCTGATGAAGTCCCAGGAATGATGTGCAAACATGGTTCAGGATCGCCGAGATGTAACACTCATGTTAACTCGTGGCGTTGAACTCCTGATAACGGTGCTCTGGCACGCTGCAAGATGTTCACACGATTGTCCCCCAACGGGAGTCAATTCCCTCAGTGGAAAGGACCCCTTGTGGGGGCCTGTGAAGAGGCATCTTGGAGGGAGGGTATATGAAAGCATCGCTGGTGAGTGTTAGTTGTTCACTGGTCCTCCTCCTCCCTCCCCCTCATCCTCCTCCTCTTCCTGCTCCTCCTCCTCCTCCTCATCCTCCTCCTCTTCCTCCTCCTCCTCCTCCTCCTCATCTCGTGCATCCCCCACCTCGCGATACTCGTCATCCTTCTCATTGTCCTTCCTCCTCCTCCTCCTTCCGTTCCCTTTGCCACTCCTTCACCTCCTCCTCCTCCTCCTCCTCCTCATCCTCCTCCTCCTCTTCCTCCTCCCTCTCCTCCCTCCCCTCCTCCTCCTCCTCCTCCTCCTCCTCCTCCTCCTCCTCCTCCTCCTCCTCCTCCTCCTCCTCCCCCTCCTCCTACAAAGCTCCCCATCCAAAGCTCGTCCTCCTCCCCCTGCTCCTCCATGTCCCCCTCCTCCTACTCCTCCTTCCGCTCCCTCCCTCCTACTCTACTTCCTCCCCTCCGTCCCCCCCCCCTGCCACTAGACCCCCCGTGCTAGTTTTATTACTATTGCTATGTCTCTTGCTCCCGTTTCCCATCTCCCGTCGTCCTTACTCCTATTCGTGTTCCTGCACATCCTGTTTCGCATCCCCAAGTTCCACGGGCCTCCCCCCACCTCCTCCCCAGAATGCCCCGTCAGTTGCCCTTCTACTTTCGACGCGGAAGCAAAACCATGCATACCCGCAGGCAGCGGCAAGCAGCCCTGATGTATCATACCTTCAGCAGCTGCACGAATGGAGGGTGAATCACTTTCGAAGAATAGTTGTCGAGAGAATCGCCTCTGTCATTCGTCTTGGACACCTGGAACTGCCACACCAAAGGGGGGGCACATAGGGTGTTCAAATGTGGCTCCGTCCGCAACGCAACACACCTTCGTCTTGAAACATCCCACCTGTGATTCGGATGGCGGGAATGGTGTGCGAACTGCGGCTCTCGCCTTCGCATTGCATGCGTATGTGTTTAAATTTCTACCTGCGGCACGGGTGGAAGTTGATCCATTGCCACAGCACTGTTCAAACTGAGGTTGTCGTTAAAGACAGATCCAGGTGCCACGACCATGTTTCTTGTATGAAAAAATGCATCAACTCCCCAGGTGGGCGGCAGCTTGTTCCCGCACTGGGGGTCACACTTGCAATTTCTTTGGCTTCGGCTGCGAACGCATGTGCTGCCCACACTCTGCTGGATGAGGGCAACCCCCCTTCAAAACGGGGTTCTTTGGACACGTCTTGAGCTGTACGGGTCTACCTCGTGGTGTTCCTTGCAGCTAGAAGGGTGGGGGGCGGTGCCTGGCAAAAGCGGGGCTACAATCTGAGTGGCGGACCCGTGGGTCGTTCATGTTTCCTCCAAAGGGGCGCCTTCCGCAGTGGAGATGGTTGTCTCTGCGGGGCTTTGACGAGAGGATGCCTTGAGGCGGGAGAGGGTGCGGTTCAGCATCGATGGTGCATCCTGGGGGTTCTCTCTAATCCTCGTCCTCTGTCTCCGACGAGGACGATGACGAAGACAACGGCTCCCCCTCCTCCTCCTCCTCCTCCTCCTCCTCCTCCTCCTCCTTGC